TTACAATGTTCTCTAATGCTTCTTTCCGCATTGTGTGACCGAAAAAATTTGCCTGTCGTTTTCTTATATTCGTGATAAGTTGCTTCAACCAGGACTTCTTCATTTGTTTTTCTAGCTGTCCATGGGATACGTAGCATGCGTCTCATGAACCACAACTCTGTCGCTACAATTGCTCTTTCCAGCTGTTTATTGATTGTCCACGCTTCGCACCCGTATAAAAGGATTGATTACTGATTGATAAAAAAACATGTACGATAACTCTCGCTGGACCTTTTCCGAGGAATCTTTTTCTACGACTATTTCCCTTTTCCCTAAACGAAAAACGGAAACGAAACTCTTGTAACTCTTTTACCTATGGAGGCAGACAAACTCGATGGAGCAGTACATAATTCTGATAACATCGCCAACATGTAAACAAACTCGGTTGTAAGACAGCAGGACGTGGTACCGGTCGGCCTACCAAAAGCCAAAAAGAATGTGCGGGATATGTTTTATTTGTGGTCCGGATGAGGATGGGTATTTCAAGCAAGGCAGTAATGACCCAGTAAGGGTAAGCCACGACATTTTTTCAGATGATGTTTTATAATTCAGATTTGTGAATGTGAACTTAGTGTCCAAGGCTACTTTTTATTGTGGGATGGGTAAGAAGTTTGAAAGGAGTTCCGCAGAGGGCCGGCCAACCAACAACCCCTAACCCTAACCCTTACCCTAACTCTTGTATAGTTTGCTCAGAGGACCTTGCCTTGTCACGGTAAGTGCCGGCCCTCCGTTGAACTCCTCCTGAAGTTTAGATCCACAGATTCGGATTGTTCCTGTTTGTTGGTGTCTCTGGTCGGTGGTCTTGTAGTTCCGTTCGTTAGTCCACAATCCATTTGTTTACACCCAGAGAAGAAGTCCAGAAGTCTTGATGACCAAATAGGCTACACAAAGAACAGGGATGCAACCTAACTGCAAAACATCAAATTATGGTAAAATTCAGGTTCAGGGGGGCATGCTGAACCCCCCTCCATATATTAGGTCAGCCATGAAACCCCCCTACTCTTGACTTTAACGAATGAAACTACAAATGGCCCTGTTGTCTGTGATTCTATTCTCTTACTAGATCTAATCTTAATGACTGTATAGGGCCTATTGTATTAAAAGTCGCCTCTCTAGTCTATAGCCTGCCCACTACTCACTTGATGATGCTGACTGTGAATTCCGATATAAAATATAAAATCTAAACATTAAAATATGCCACAAATTCAATGAAATTAGTGGTAATCTATTTGTTGGTTTAACATCCGTCTTCCTCTACCTTACTGTGTGTACAAGTAGCATGGGAGGTAGTTTGCTGTAATGTACTAATACACATTCTTGATTGCCTGAGTGGCCTAGTGGTTAGGCTCTCGGACTCGCAACCGTAAGGTCGTGGGTTCGAATCCGTCAGGTACCTGACGTTGTGTCCTTGGGAAAGGCACTTTACACAAATTTTCCTCACTTCACCCAAGTGGGAATGGGTACCCGGCTATAGACTGTGAAAGATCTTGTCAGTATGTTAGTGTTTGAGCGCTTAATCAGCTGCTTGCACTGTATGCTTCCCGGGAAGCTGAGAATGTTTCGGAGTGTTCTATGGTCTGCTGGGGTAATAATATAGTGTAAAGCGCATAAAGCCTGCTGTTGAGCGGGGATTTGCGCTATACAAATGCTATATATTATTATTTCCCCAGACTACTGTTATGATCAGGTCGTACAGTCAGGAGAGTGACAGCTAGGGAGCTAGATCATCAACTTGGAAAATAGAATATAGGCCATGTATTAGGAAGAATAAATGACGGCTGGACTGCTAGGCTAGCCGTTTTCTCATTAAGTAGGCCTATGGCTAGCCTGCCAGTCGAGCCATACTAATTTAATACTTAATGGCAGTTTTATTAGACGGCTTGGCTTGTCCTACTTAAGGACGGCTAGACTGACATGCTAGTCCAATTAATGATCTGATGGCTAGCTGACAAAAAGCAAAAAATACTGAATTGTACTTAATGACAGCTAGACTTTTAAGCTAGAATGGCAGGCTAGCTGTACTTAAAAATGATGGCTAGACTGACAAAAAGCAAAAAAATACTGAATTGGAAATAACATTTTTGTTTGCAATACCTAAAGTATTGTACCTGAGACGAAACCAAAAGGTGCCTTACTGACCTGCATATGTATTTTAAATCTGACTAATTAGGCCTACTAATGAGACCTGAGTACTCAACAGGTTTTGTTCAATAGGGCCAAAGTACAGCTAGACTGGCCGGCAAGCTTAAGTATGGCTAGCTACTTCGTATTGTTATATATATTTAATTCTTTTCCCCGTCCCCTATATAGTGACAGATATGGTCTATGGACTCACTGTGGCGTTGGTGGCCTAGTGGTTAGGCTCTCGGACTCGCAACCGTAAGGTCGTGGGTTCGAATCCCGTCAGGGACCCGACGTTGTGTCCTTGGGAAAGGCACTTTACACGAATTTTCCTCACTTCACCCAGGTGGGAATGGGTACCCGGCTATAGACAGTGAAAGATCTTGTCAGTTTGTTAGTGTTTGAGCGCTTAATCAGCTGCTTGCACTGTATGCTTCCCGGGAAGCTGAGAATGTTTCGGAATGTTCTATGGTCTGCTGGGGTAATAATATAGTGTAAAGCGCATAGAGCCTGCTGTTGAGCGGGGAATATGCGCTATACAAATGCTATTTATTATTTATTATTATTATTACTGTCTTTGTTAAAGCATGCTAGTAGAGTACTCACATATTATATCTCCTCCGGAAAGGTGAATCAGTAATGGTAAGCATGTTGTGTTTAATTGTTAACAATGTAAACACAGCAGAATGATGATTAGAGAAATGACTGGCAGAAATCAAAAGCAAGCTTTCTCTAAATACCCTCACCATTGACCTTTATATCAGTTTACATGTTGATAAAGGGAGGCTAAATTTAAAACACTTACAGTACCAAAGGCTCATATAGTGAAAAGACCTCAAGTACCGCACGAGTTAAGAATGCTGCAACCGTGGTGGAATAAAACAACCTTGGCAGCCCAAGAAACACGCTTTAAAATTTCAAAGACGTTCAGCAACCATCCAGCTATCATAGAGTGACTTCCTTTGAATTACTTCAGTACAGTGCGTTCCTTCGTTGTTTAATTCAGTGTGTGCCTGGTTGCATCGGTGACTAGTCGCCAGTTGCCAGGGGTAGTGAGCACATACTATAGCCTGTAAGTGTTAATGGTACAGTAATCAATTTTTAAAAAGAGAACCTTCTGATTCTGATTCTTTCACTTGATGGCAAGAAGAAAAATTAAATGGATTCAGAGAGCCTATAAATAAAAATCTCAAATGTCAAGACATACCATTACATTCTCTTGACTGCTGACTACTCACGCACCAGGAGGTAAAAGGTAAGATCCTGTTCTTTGCGAAATTATGATTGTTAACATTTCGCAGCATTGTATAATATATTTCTTTTTATACCAGTGTCATGTTTTGCTACTTTCAGGCTGACGGTCTGACTGATGAGCTACTGCGCAACAGAGGCCCAGATGTTTCAAGAAGACATTTCCTCACTCTTAGAGAGGGCTTGCAGGGCTGTATGCAGGGATGTGTGCTACACTTGCGAGGACAATTAACTCCACAGCCTGTTACTGATGATGACGGGAATGCTCTTCTGTGGAATGGAGAAATCTTTGGTGGCATTCCGGTGACTTTTTAACAAAACATTAATTTGAGCTCTAAGAATTGTTTATTATGTGTATGCGCTTAGAGTTTAGTGGAATAAAATTGAGTAGTGCGGTTTTAGCAAATTGTCTTACTTTTTTCTAATTAGCTTACTTACACATTGTCTACAAATAATTCACTGGAATATGATGCAACAGTGTTAGGTAGATAACACACTTACGTCTCAGCAGTGTTTTTAATAGAAGATTCGTAGACTAGGATTTCAACAGAGTTTAGATTTGGAGTGAATGTTGAACTGATTATCAAATATTCGTTGGTTCAGAAATTGTGGATGTTTTGTTGTGGACATTCTCATCTATATGGCGTCGGTGGCCTAGTGGTTAAGCTCTCGGACTCACAACCGTAAGGTCGTGGGTTCAGATCCCGTCAGGGGCCCGACGTTGTGTCCTTGGGAAAGGCACTTTGCACAATTTTTCCTCACTTCACCCAGGTGGAAATGGGTACCCGGCTATAGACAGTGAACGATCTTGTCAGTTTGATAGTGTTTGAGCGAGTGAAATCAGCTGCTTGCACTGTATGCTGCCGCGGAGGCCGAGAATGTTTCTGAGTGTTCTCAGCGAGGGTCTGCTGGGGTAATGATAGTTGTAAAGCGCCTAGAGCATGCTCTTGAGCATGGGTATGCACTATATAAATGCAATTATTATTAATTATTATATTTGTGCTGCTCTTACTTAAAGGTATTATTAGAGTGCAAACATTTGAAATGATTATGTTCTAATTATGACTCCATCTTTTTTGTTTCGACTTTGTCATCTTATCTGTCTTCTTTCTAGGTGGAAAAAGAAGAAAATGACACAGAGATTCTCTTCAAAGCCCTGACTGGTTGTTCTTCAGAAGCTGAGCTTTTGTCAACACTGCAGGCGGTCAAGGGTCCTTGGGGATTTATTTTTTGGCAGGTACTGCAGTTCCCTCCAGGTTCTATTTAGAAATATTATTTAAGGCTCATGGCTTTGCTCAATGGTAAGTTTGCAATAATTTTTTTATTTTAAGCATAATTCCAGGTTAGAAAGAAGCACAAATGGGCAACTCACTAATAAAAACTTGTAGGAAGAGACAAATAAAGTGTCTTTGATACTTACTTGAATTGTCATAAAGGCCTTAAATTGAGCATCTTGCTTTCACTGAAAAACAAATAGAAGACAAAAAGGGCAAGGATAGATTGTATATCATGAAACCAATGGCAAAAGTGAATTATGTTTATGGCTCTCAAGTACAATTATTTATCCCTGAAAATTTTCAGGAATTCACAAGCACAGCTTTTCCTATTAATTCCGTTTTATATTTAACTAATATTGTTTTTTGTTACTGTTTCATTTACTGAGCTTTAATTACCTTTTTTTATTTCCAGGCCTCGAAGAAAATTTTATGGTTTGGCCGTGATGTATTCGGACGCAGAAGTCTGTTATGGCACCTCCCGAGTTGTCCACAAGACCACTTAATTCTGTCTTCTGTTGCGCTTGGAGATGAGGTGATCTACTTGCTAGTCTGTGGTGCTATGCGCAGCATGCTGAAATACTGTATGCACCACATTAAACAATTGTTTAGACTTTCTTAATTTTGAAGTGTCATGCTTTAATTTATGTAACTAACCGGCTAAAGACAGTGAAAGTTCTTGTCAGTTTGTTAGTGTTTGAGCACTTGGTGCGGTGAGCTGTTTGCACCGTATGCTACCAATGAAGTGAAGCTGAGAATGTTTCTCTAAGTGTTTCAGGGGCTGTTGGGATGATAATATAGATTGTAAAACGCCTAGAGCTTTCTTGTTGAGCGGGGAATATGAGTTTTAGAAAAGTTATTTATTATTCAACACTGTTCTGACAAGATTTTTCCCCCTTAAAATTTTGTGCGGTATTTATGAGTTGGTTCTATGAAATAACAACATTATTACCACTATGAACAGTTTACAATGACAATGTCTTTTGTGAATGATTTGAACATGCATTTATCTTGCCTAAATGTTTTATGCTGGATGTTTGTTTTAGCCAATATTGTTTTAGAGTTTACATTTGACTGGTATTTGTTGTATGTTTTTCATTTTCGATAGAACTGTATTGGGTATGTCACTGTGTCTAAAAAAATAAGAAAACCCATCTGCTTGTTATAATGATGGTTTGCTTGGTATTCAGTCTTAGGTTCAACGGCCATACTTTAGAAAAGTTTTAAGTTTGTAAAAACATATTAAAACTGTCTGAATAATTAGGCCTACTTTCTTGTATTTAGTGTTTAACTCTAATATTGCTTGTGACAACTATATTTTGCAGCTTGATGAACATTCTAAAATTTTGTCCTATTTTCACCTCTGAATATTTTCCCTCAGAGGTTTTCTGAGATTCCATCAGTCGGAATCTTTTCCTTGGACTTTTCTTGTCCTGCAGGGACCACAGAGAAATCCCCGCCTTCTCTCACTCTCTACCCCTGGCAGGACTGTGTGTGGCCTGGGACCACCTCACTGGTTGCAAAAACCGAACAGGCCAGACTTGAAGAGATCCTGTTCTCCAAGCATCCTTGCAGCATCCCTGTCTCGATTAACCATTCTGGATTTCTTACGTCGTGGATTCCTTCAATGAATCCAAGTATTCCTTCAGATGGACTACAAACTGAAGTAGAATCATCACTGGACAAAAGGAAAATAGAGAAATGTTTCCAGTTGCAGGATGGGAGAGATTGTACTGAAAAAAGTAGCGAGAGCTGCCCAGAACAGGTGCTTGCTGATATTATGAAAGCTAACAGTGATTTGGACAGGTTGTCTGATGAGCTGATTAACAAATTGGAGGAAGCTGTACGGACAAGAGTGTGCAACATTCCTGAGGATTTTCACACCGGTTAGTCTTGCTTTTCTTTGTCTTTCTGTGTATTTCCGGCGTCCGTGACCCTGTGGTTAGGTTCTTCATAGTTGTATACAGAAAGCTGAGTTTGATTTTGGATAAATGAAGTTTGGACCACTGTTATCCTCATCAATGTTCAACTTTCTGGTGTCATTTTCTGTGTTCTTTCCTCCTTTCTTCCTTGTTCTTTTTCTTTACCTCCACACTGAGTTCTCCACCTTTGAAGTGCCAACTGACAGGAAGGGTGCTTTTTTTTGTTGTGTTTTTGTAAAGTGTTTTGCGGCGTTCGCAACTGCTTAAGGTCATATGGGCACGCCGGACACACCTAATATTTTCAGTTGGTAGGAAATTTTGAATTTTGTCCAGGTGGCGGCCGAAGCCTACTCTTATATCGATTTTAGACCACCAAGGGATCTTTAACGTGCGCAACTTGCACACGGGCCCTCCGAGATTTTTTGCCCTTGTCCGAGAAGGCTAGGTGTAGATCTTTCCTACCAGAAGATCAGGGGTGTGGCAGAAAGACAGCAGTAAGGAGGAGCCAAGGAGTAGCAGTAGAAAGGCTGCAGAAAGAGTCAGGAGCCCAGAGGAGGGGGCAAAGGAGGGGAGGGGGTGGGGGCAGAAAAAGGAGACGAAAGCAGATGACAGAACATTGCTAGAGCCGGATTCGAACCCGGGACCTTTTGAATAAGAGGCCAACACCTTAACCTCCAGGCCATGAGAGCCCCAGGAAGGGTGCTGTATTCAGATACAATTTAAAAAACTGTGACTGATTAAATTTAAATGCATACTCTTTAGATTAATCCATATAGTAAAATTCCCTTATCCCCTTCGCTGACAAGTCATGCCTTGTCTTTGTCTGTGTGGTAGATTATAGAACATTTGTGAAGCAGCGTGGTGGAATCAGGCGCTCATTAAAATAATGAAATTGAAGAAACTGGCATTTTTCCGCATTTTCGTTTTTGGGCTCAACGCCTTTCATGCCCATTAAAAAACACATTTCTGTGGGGATTGTAATGAAAAACATTGCTCAAGAGCTTAAATAATGTAAATTTTCTGTTTCCAATGACTCTCAAGCTGAGGATATTAACTCATCTTTGGGGGCCAGTTTCTCTCTAAATTTCCTCTGAGACCAGGTGACCCCCACCTCCTTCATTTGCAAATATCTGGAGTTCCTATGAAAATAATGGGATATTTTTTTCATCCAAAGCAAGACAAATGAAATTGACGAGTGCCTTATTCCACTGTGTCATGACACATTTATATAATTGACAAAAGTAAATTTTTTAATGAATATATGTCCTAACATCTTTCTGTTCTCAGAGAATAATGGAGGAAATCTTCCCCCTGAAGTTACTGTATCCAAGGCCAAAGTTGCCATCTTGTTTTCTGGAGGACTCGATTCTTCAGTATTGGCAGCCTTGGCTGATAGGTGTGTAGTTTCTGATACCAGAGCATGGTTAAGTTGGTATTTTGTATAATTTACTGTGACTGTTTAACCAGTTTGGTAAATCTGAATGTTCTCCATCCTTCTCTTTGATGCAATAGAGTTCATTTCGAGGGAAAAGTTCTTCATCACTACTCTCTACTGGCACCAAACTGATATAAGAGTTATTCACCTTCTATAGATAACAAAAGTTTTAAACACCCCCCCTCCCCCCGGGAATATATGAACCCCATTGTCTGTGAAATACTGGTGAAGCTCTTCATGACTGAAAGGTTGGTCCCTAAATGGGGAAACTTTTTTTCAAGTATTTCCTTGTATCTGCTGGAAGGCTGTATATACCACTCCACCCGTGTTAGCTCGGACAGGCTGGGTTGAAACAGCCTGGCTTTTATATGATGAAATAAATTATTGCAATGTAAAACCATTAATTTTTTAAAAATTTGGGATATGAACCCTAAATGTCTCCCTGTTAGGCTAGTTTGTTACCCACTGTGTCTCAAAAATGTACATTTATAGGAATTCGTCCCAATTCTACACAGTCTACAATAATGACAGTTCCCCCCCACCCCCACCCCCGGGAAGATGTTCCTGAATTTCCGAGCTTACTTTATATCTGGATCAAACTGAAAGTGGCTCAGGAAAAATATTTTTAAAATAACAAAGGTTTGATGGAAAATTTCGGATTTTTTTCTTTGTCTTTGTAAAAATGATAATAATTATGTAATCTCTGCAGGATGTCTCTTCAACTTTGTAATTCCTTTCACCAAAGGAGTGTTAGATTGACACAAGTGTGCATTTTGATCAGTATATCGTGGATCATTTACTGGGGGTTCAAAAGCTAGTGGAGGCCAAAGTCTACTCGTGTCCTATTTCTGTTTGATGAAAATGCTGGGAATAGCTCAATTTCCTGACCAAGTCTGTTCCTGCAGAGCAGTCCAGTTGGTTGTGTCAGTGCTGTTCAGCACTGTAAGATCATTTGAGAGCTGATTATTTCATTTGTATGTCCCTCTCTGTGAGGAAAATGTCATGCATGAGCAAGAATATTCTTTTGTGATTTCAAACCTGGAATTTAGGAGTTGTTCACACAGTAATCCAGCTTGATATCATCTGATCACACTGAGTTTTACTGGTAACATTTTTGTATTATTCACTTTATATCCCTGAAATAAATGTCCCTAACAAAAAAGAATAATGATTGTGTATGAGACCCTGTTTCCAAATGGATTTTTGTTTTGTAGATTCCATTGAACGTGAATTTAATCTTGATATTAAACATCTCTGTTCCAGATGTGTTCCTCCAGAAGAGCCAATAGATTTACTGAATGTGGCGTTTGAGCTTCCAGCAAGGAAATCAAAACCTCAACAAGCAAAAAAGCCACCCAAAAAAACAAAAGCGGAAAGAGCTGCAAATAGAAAACAAAAAGAACATGAAAGAAACCAGGCTGTTCAGTGTAATGTTGAACAAGATGATGGTAGTGGTGAACGATTGGAAAAGGAAACGTCGGCATCTAACTGTTATATACCAAATGATCTTTGTTCAAATAGAAATGAAGACCCGGGTGTACTGTGTCAGTTTTCTTCCGTGTCAGTTCACGATGACATGTCTGGAGTGAGTTCAGTGGGAGCAGGGGATGTTTGTGTTGCTCCTGAGCAGACAATAAGGCCAGAGAGTAGAAGATCTGTTCCTGAGGGCGTAATCAACAGCTGCGCCGGGGCAGATAAAAAATTGGAAACTCATTCCTCTGCGGTGGTGGCTGGTTGTGAAACCGGTTATTCAGATACTGGGAAAGTTCCGTCACAAAGCTCTTTTGACGTTCCTGACCGCCAAACCGGGAGGCTGGCCTTCTCGGAGCTGAATCCTCGTCGACGGTGGAACTTTATTGAGATCGACGTGACGCAGAGTGAGCTTCTTCAGCTGCGGCAGGACCACATCCGACGTCTCATCTACCCCCTGCAAACGGTTCTGGACGACAGTATCGGCTGTGCTGTGTGGTTTGCTTCCAGAGGTCATGGTCGTTTGGCCAGTGACCAGGGTCAGCCTATCTGTAGCAGAGCCAGGGTGAGTTCCACTGTTCTCCTCTAAAAATATAATAATATGTAATTGTAATAGACCAAGTTCTGACAGAAGAATACAAAAAAAATACATAATAATAATTGTTATTGGAAATGTTTTACAATGTCATCGATATTACAGTACTACTTACATCATGTTGAAGATGGACCACTGTAACCCTGCCTGGCTGAACCCAGGCTAAATGGGATCCATGACGCCGGTAGAAAGACAGATACTCAATAAAAAACTTCCCCTGTCTGGAATTAAAATTGCATCTTCTGCATGTAGTGACATTGATGGTCATGGAGAAGAGCCTAACTGCTCCAGGGGATGAAATTTGTAGTGTGGTTTCCTCAGTCTGTTGAAAAAATCAATATAAATATGAGACGTAAAGTGTCAACCAATCACATTCCTCCTCTCATGTTGGTCATTTGCGAGTGCTTTGCCTGGTGTGGCTTGCTTCTTTTCTCTGCTATCAAACAAGCTTCTATTGCACTTAACAAAATCGGTGAGAGGCAGAATTTTTTTTCGTTATTTACTAATTACACTATGTATGGGTTTGAAATACAAATAATATATATACATGGAAAAGAAAAAATTCAGGATCTGAAAAATCTATTCACTGTACATGTTTCAATGTGTCTATGCTAGAGTGTAATGTCATGGTCTTTGAAAAGTGGCATCGATGACCTAGTGGTTGGGCTACCGGACTCATAATCATGAGGTTCGATTCGGAGGTTCGAGCCGCGGGCCCAACATTGTGTCCTTGGGAAAGGCATTTTACATGAATTTTCCTCACTTCACCCAGGTGGCAATGGGTACCTGGCCTTAGACAGCGAAAGATCTTGTCAGTATGTTTGTGATTTAGCACCTATAAATGGCCGCTTGCACTGTATGCTTCCTAGGAAGTTGAGGTTGTTTCAGAATGTTCTCAGGTCTGCTGGGGTAATAGTATAGATTATGAAGCGCAGAGAGCTTGCTGTTGAGAGGGAATTTATGCTATACAAATGCTATCTATTTTTAATAAAGTGTGCAATGTTTCCATCTCAGGTCCTGTTGTGTGGCATGGCAGCAGACGAACAGTTTGCTGGCTACTCCCGGCACCGTGCGACGTTCAACAAGTTTGGCTGGGAGGGGCTAGTGAAGGAACTGCAGGAGGAAATGTGGAGAATATCAGCCAGAAATCTTGGGAGAGATGACCGGTAGTAGTTGCATGATTAGTTTTTGTCGATGTTAGAATCATGCCTGTCAGTGTCTTCAGGCATGATTTGACCAAGTTTCTGAGATTTTAATTTTAGCTGAGAAAGTAGGTGGAAACGTTCTAACTTAATCTAACTGCTCTATGCGAAGTTAAAATAAATCCGAGATCATTTTCAAATCAATGTTGAGAGTACAAAATATATGCCCTATTCTAATTCTAATGCCTAAGTTTCTTATCAAGCAATATTTTTTTATGAGGATGGGGAAATAATATATATACTTTGATACTAATTGAATATTTCTACTTCTCAGCATCATAACTGATCATGGGAAAGAGTCCAGGTTTCCTTTTCTGGATGAAATGTTTACCAGATTTGTCAGCAATATACCAGTCCATCAGAGAGTAAGTAAAACAGTCATAGGTCCAATGTTTGGAGCTTCAACAAATTATTTATAAATGCTAGTAACTTACAGTTACATGTATGCTTTCATCAATACATCTTGTGGTAAATTGGATTGTTTTTTCTCTTCCCCTTTGGTTGTAAAACTTGAAAATATAAAGTAGCTACTTGTTTCCATTGCTCCTTTTGTTGAGAAACCCTTATTCCTATCTGGCAAACCTTTTTGCCTGTTTCACAAGAAACTAATTGAATAGTGGATTATAAAAAGAATGTATGAAAGTGTTGTAAGACTTTTTCTTCACATTGTTGATATGTAGATCATTAGATAATGATGTTATTCGTTGCAGAAAAAAAAGTGCAGTATAACCCCTAGATAATAATGTATGTAAAATTTGTTGACTTATGTGTAAGAAATTATTTGTCTTGATTCATTGTGTTTCATTCCCTCATTTACTAAAGGGACATTTTAAAAAAAAATTTCAGGCTGACTTGCTGCTGCCAAGAGGGATTGGGGAGAAGGTGTTGCTGAGAATCGCAGCCCAGAAGTTGGGCTTGATAAAAACGTCATGTCAGCCGAAACGTGCAATACAGTTTGGCTCAAGAATAGCAAAGCTTGACAATAGCAAAGAGAAAGGATCAGATGTTTGTGGAAGACTGTCTTGACCAAAATATTACATTGTTATTTCTCAGTACTCACCATGCCTCTTCGTTTTTCCATGTTTTTTTCATAATGTGTTCAGTGCTTTGTAGGACCAGTGATCAGCGGCAGCAAATTTGTCCTTGTTGAGATCAATAAATTTTTATCTTATCTTATCTTACTAGGTAAAGTTAAATTGGTAACACTATCAATAGTATTATGTTAGACTAGTGCTGAAGACTCAATGGAGTTTTATTTAACGTATTTTGGTTGAGGAATTGTAATGATCCACAATCCATTTAGCATCATTCTGTCAGTGGATGAAAGTTACATTGGAGGTCCTGCCTTTGTAATGGTTGTGAGGTGAAAGTCTGTGATGTCATTATTGCTCTACTGTTAATACTAAATAATCTACTGATGCTCCAAGAAGGATAGGAAAATCGCTCTAAAAAGAAGAAATTAACAGTTTGTTGACAAAACGCAACCAACATCATTTTCAAAGTTTAGCCAAAACTAGTGCTGTCATATCAAGAAAGGTGAGGCATATTCCAGAGGCAACTTCTTTTTTTCAGAAAACATGTTGTGTCCTCTTTAAAGAACTGCAGAAACTTGGGACTCTTTTTACAAAATGCAACAAAAGTGGTGGACCTTTTTCGACACACCACGACATATCCTCTGCAAACCAATCAAATTCGTTTCTCAAGTCACCTGACTTCCTTTGTGGTGTATGACAGTTTGTTGTGGCTCTTTGAGTACTTGTGCTGAGGCATATGTACAAACTTTTTTTCTTATCTTCTCATGTAATTGTAATAGGGTACGTGTATGAAAGAACAGGGTCACATGAGTTTGTTGCTTTATCATCTGAAAACATCTCTAGAAAATCAATCAAGTTTTTCTACTAGATAGGAAAGATTAAAACCATAGATATAGACACAGTTTAGGCTATTTTTAAGGCACAGGTTCTTGGTTCCCTGCCAGGACCACAGACAGTGAGGATCAATGTTTCTATAACAACAAGATAGAATGGGAACCCTCGAGGATTTGAACCTCTTGTCTTAATTAGGCTCTAACATCTATGTCTTGAACAAGCTTGTTTTCCTTTCACTTAGCAGTGCTGTCTGCGTCTATCTTTGGCTTACCAGACCCAAGCACTAACCAGACCAAGCACTTGAGTTCCTGTTTCTCATGTGCCAGATATACACTGTCAAATGCTCAACATCGTATCGGATCTTTGGTTTAATACAATTTGGTTTGATCTTTGAAAAGATCAAATTGGTCACGGATGAATTATTGACAGGTACTCTGGTGTGGTTTGCTCCTTCTCTCCCATCAAACATCTATCGTCCTTATCTCTCTTCCTTTTTTTTTGTTTGTTACTCTCTTGTAACACCTCTAATCTTCGGCACTAATATGACTTTATTGTGTTGCAAGTGCCGTAAAACTCTTACTAAAACAAAATGGATGAACTTTCCCAGTTTGCCAAAGAGGATACCCACAATGTGAAACGAGCATATTCCTTTGAGTGAGAGTCTATGAAGACATGTAGAGTCATAGAGGCTTACCAAGTTCTCCTTAGCCTTTCCTCACTTCACCCAGGTGGGAATGGGTACCCGGCTATAGACAGCGAAAGATCTTGTCAGTTTGTTAGTGTTTGAGCGCTTAATCAGCTGCTTGCACTG